ATGATGTGGTGATGAACGCGTTAGTCCCCGGAAAGAGCAATAGCGCGCTCGTTTCGCGCCGCAGACACCTGAGGTCCAGAGTTTTGCAAATATATCAGCAACGTCGTGGTTGTATTCCACATAAATACCCTTCAGCGAAAGAAAATAACAGGAAATAAATAAAATTTAAACATCGCAATAAAATGTAATTTAGATGGCAGATATACGAGAAAAGCAGTGGAGTGGACTCTAAGAGAGTGCAAGCATCCTCTTAGAAGACCACTCAAACGATAGGCGGACTTATTGGTGACTAATATAAACCATCTGCACTCGCAGATGACAACGATTACAGAATTACGAAGTGAGCCACGCGAACACTACCATGTTAGTAGTAGACCACCACCATGGATGATGATTGCACGAGAGAGAAAAAATGGAAATTAAGCTAAGGTTCGCACCAAATGAAAAGGACTATCCTGGCATCCAAGTAAGAAAGTAATATTCAATACAGTTAAATGGTTTCGCGGAGGTGGGTAGGGATGCCGTGAAGGTGCTGCTCATCACGGATACGTGCAGGTTCGACCACGCCACTGGCTAACCAGGTCGCTTGTCCCACCGAGGTCGGGGAAAAAGACTCACTTCAATCTAAGTGGGGACGTACTAGCCCTTCTTTATCAAGACTTCAAGGAGAATCGACCGGACCAGTATTCGACCACATTAATAGAGACGACTTTCTTCAAGCAACGAACATGTGCAAAATTTGAAGACTGTCGCTAATGATAGATGCGTGGAAACTAATTAATATGCTGATCCGCACAGTAGAAGTGAAAACGGATGATGTAGAAAAAATGACATGCTGGTAGTCATAAATCATTTCTGTAAAGAAAATATAATGAAGAAGACGAGAACGATCAACCTATGGTAATATTGGAAATTCAAACTAAAACTTATCCAACCAATCAAATGGGCATGCGAGAAGAGGGAAGCGTGAAAAAAAGAAAAAAAACAAGAACAAAAACGAAAAGATGTTTTTAAAAGTTGAAGCTCAAGACAAAGCAAAGCTTATGAGCAGTTAAAATGGTTACACTTCAGACATCGAAGACGTAATGAGCGCTTGAGGTGCCGTTGTTAGATTGTTCGGAAATTAATTTCGGATTAATAATTTCATCTTGAGTATATATATATATATATATATATATATATATATATATAAACTACCTATATAATACTGTGTATAGCAGTGGTAGTGATGCCTGTCATCACGAGCATGGTGCTAGTTCGGTTTCCGATTTTTCGCGCCAACCAAGCCTCTCATGCCTCCGAGGTAGAGAAATTGATACCCGGACTTGTCTGTGAAAAAATCACTCTCTGAAATCCAATTCGGAACGCTCCAGCTCGGCTATATCAGGACTCAAGGGAGAATTGCTAGACAAGCATTCTACAATTTCAGACTTTGCAGCATTTTACGACATTCAAGACGAATTGGAACTCCTCAAACAGCAACCGAAGCGCCATACGCCAAAAGTTGGAAGATCTTCGTGGACAGTGGATGCGAGGAAGCGAATAGAATGTGAGAAGTGCTGGGATTTGTAAAGTAGACGTGAAGACCGATATAATAGAATAATAAAAGAAATATATGTATATAACACTGGTAGGCTGACTTTGTGCTCCTTCGCCTCGTATAACTGAATTACAACACAATCCGAGTTTTGGCTCATTTTAAAGGTTAGAACTTCATGTCTCAAAACACCATTTTCTACAAATCTACTTCCGCGGAGTCTAAATCGGACGTAGTGAACGTAAATGACTCCAAGTATAAATTAGGTATGAGATGGAGGAATGTCAACGAATGGAATGACAGTGTAGAAAATTTCGATGTGGCAAGTTCAATGTTGAAGTTAAAGAACGTTGCGTACGTCCTTCTGCTATTAATTACGATGAAGTAGAAGCTTTCGTGAGAGCAAATACACGCATACCTCTTCAAAAAAAAGTTGGTCTAAGAATCTTAACTATTTCAAAGCATCTAAATTCGAAAATGGAAAAAGTTCAACAAACTAATGCCGAAGGAATAAGCAACACGTCACATAAGGGACGATGAAATAGTTGAACGAGCTGCGCTACGAAGCTCTACATGATTCATCTGACCTCTCGCCTACCGACTAACACTTCTTCAAGTATCCTGGGAACTTCTTGGACAAGAAAATGCCTCAGAAACCAAGCCAAGGGCGAAACTGCGCCCAACCTCTACACCGCCTCTGGAAATCGAAGTTTTATGCAACTAGTATGACCCTTGGAATGTGATGACCAAGTTTAAAGAAGAAAATCTCTAATGCGGTCCTAATTTCCTTCAGTTTAAAAGAACTTAAGAAGCTTTTTCCCAACCAACAATAAATTTCCTGCATAAGCATATCAGTGAATAACATATTACTCGCTTAGTGTGAGAATAGATAAAGATGAAGATGAAGAAGGTTTTTAAAAACATCTAGAGACCGTCAATATGGATTGTTGTTCCTATATCGTTGATCCATCGAAAAAATATGCATTCACAGTTGATCATTAAGGATTTCGATAGAGATATGAGTGACTGCGCTTCGATTGTGAATGAAGACCGTCTCCTAATGACATCTAAGGCGACTACACGTTTTTTTTCGATCTTCGAAAAAAAAGGACATTCACTGAACTCTTTTCCGCTTGAGCAACAGCCAATTATCTTTCTGTCTGTTGTCTGTGAAATAAATTTCCTTTGTCGCCATTTGACGTTGATATTCCCTAACGAATGAAAGTCCATTTAACCTCGTTTCTAACCGTATCAGTAATTAGGTCTGAAAAAAGAGCGAAAAAAAATTAACGGTGCCAAAACCATCTAATTGGATTCGTTTTTATCAGAGATATAGAAGGACACTAGACTTTTCTAATGAGTCAATTTTTTTTGCAGCGTTTTGAACAGAGAGGTGATAAACATGAATAATTCAGTGGACTGGCTATGTAGTGTGGAGGACTGATTCCAAAGCACTTAGCTTTTCAGGAACTTATAGAGTAAGGTGGTTTGTTCTTTCGAGGAAGTCTACTCTCTTCTCGTATTTTCCAATGACCTGGTATGGGATTTTTGTGGAGCAATGGCAACGGTTAAATATGCATTTGCACAAATGCTCTTGGTTTTGTTCTGCGTTGAAAATCCACCAGGGGACCACCACTCAGGCATCCTTGCCAATACCTAACTGTGAACTCTTTCAATGAGGGAGGTCCTTGAAATCACTGAATTTACTTCTGTCATTCTAATTATTCGTATTTTTGTTGAGCAAACGCGAGGTCTAATTATTATTATTACTATTATTATTATTACTATTGTCATTATTGTTATTATTGTTATTACTATTATCCTGCTACATGATCACATGTACCACAACATGCGGATCCATGGAATCTTGAATTCGACTATTTTCTTCGCATACACTATCCATGAAGGTCTTCCAACTTTTTTGGGTGTGAGTTCGGGTGCTGCTTGAGAATTTTTATTTCGGCTTCGTCCCGAATTTCACTGAATACTAGTCAAGTCGACTCTCCCTGGGTTCCTAAAATAGCCGTGCAAGAGCTTCCCCACTTTCACTGGAATGAGTGAGCTTGTCTTAGGCAAATCTGGTGTCAATCTCCCGACCCGGAGAGATGAAAAGCCTGGTGAGGAGCGATCGAACCAGAGCCTTGATAATTTGAGTCGACCGCTCAATGAACAGTATCACCTCGATTCCGCCACGCGCTCCTTATTATTGGGCTAATGTTTAATTGAAAAAAAGACAGTAAAACCAAATGTTAGAAAAAACCTAGACGGAATTTTTCGTAGAAAGTGAATTCTGTTTTCTTTTTTCCTTGTTTTCTTTTTCTAATAGGATATTACAGGAGGTTTTTCGAGAATATTTTTTCAAGAAAGACCACATGATTTTAAAAAAACCTATACAACTTATTTCATAGGCAAATACGATGGAAACTGTAGAGAATTTACAAGGCAGTTTTGTGCTTTCTAAAGCATTTACTTCCACATAACACTAGTAAATTGCGGAAACCAGTCAGAGAGAGAAACGGAGAAAGAGTTTTTTTCTTACATGATAGAGACGAATTTAAATCGAAAAGGAAAACGCGGCGAAAAATCGATTGTTAAAATTATCTTTTCTAGTTGTTCAATTGAGGTGCGGGTGGCGTAGTGGCAGTGGTGACGTTCGATTTGCACACGGCAGTGGTTCGATCACGTCGGATTTATACCAAACTGAGCATTGTGACGTAAAAAAATCACGAAAGAAAAGTGTGAAATTGCTTAAAACACTTTAAAAAAGGAACGATCGATAGGCTTTTGAGAATCCATATGTTATTTCGTAAAATGAAAGAAAAAGGAAGAATGCTTCGACCTGACGGCATAAATATGTTGTAGAAGTTAGGAGACCATCGGAAAAACCGCTTAAGCCCGATAGAAAATCCTGGAACCATGAAAAAACAAGGAAAGAAAAACAAAAACGAATCCCTTGTAGGTGAAAGTAGCCCTAAGTTGAAAACAGAGAAATTTAAAACGAAAAAAAGAAAGTGCAAAGAAAACGAAAGAGTCATATTCTTCATTTTCTATAGCTTTTCCTGCCATAACTGTCACGATTTTTTTACATGGTTTTTCATAATCAAACAAATTTTATCGGAGATCCTTTCACTTCAGTCGTTCTTTCTTCATATTAAGTGATTTTTTGCACGTTTTAATAATATTTTACACTTTGTTTATTTATTGCCTATTACAACTTTTCACGGCAGGGTACATATTGCGAAATATAACTTTAATGATGCTGAGATAATTGCAAAACTCCGGACCACAAGTGTCTGCGGTGGGAAGCAAACGCGCTATTAACCTATCCGGGTGCTAACGCGTTCACCACCACACCATGAGGGTTCTGTCTCTCAGTGTCTCTCATTTTACACTTTATCCCTATTCCGCCACATTTTGTTACATGTTCTCATACGTTTCAAGTTTTCGAAGATTTTTTTCGCATTTAATTCATCGCGGATTTTTTCAAAAGATTTCCTCTTTCATTCTCTTCCTTCATACCGATTTGCCAGAACCCAACTGGTTTGCTGTCTCTCTCACGATTTGTGAGTTCTATTACACCACTCAGTTGCCATTTTATTGTTTACTCATCTAGTAAAGGCAAAGAAAAACCAACTTGAAGGCACAAAAATGGTTTACAATTGGACGGTATAGAGGAAGAATAAAAGGAGAAGGATAGTACTTACTTGGATATTTGGACACTTAGATGGCCTGCCCTCACCGGTTGTGCGGGTCTCAGCACCTTCTCGATTTTTCGAAGTTTTGCTGATTTAGCCATTGTGTTTCCTGGAGTCCTGAGGTCAACCTGGCCAAAGCCTGTCTCAAGTGGTCCCCATCACAAGTAGTTGTCGCCTTGTAGATCAGATGGAGATTTTCCACTATACGACTAGTTTGATATAGGGACGGTGGTCAATCCTGGTATTGGTTCACTTTTAGCTGGGCTTCCTGATGGAAACGACAGACTCCCTCTCAGCTTGGGTGACCCTGCTGGAGGCATGAATCCCTCGCTAGCTGTACATCGCAGCCCAGCACCCAAGAACACCTCCCTGCCACGATGAGGCGGTAAACGGTTGGGAGTGGAGACGGATAATACGGCAGAAAAATGGCATATTTCTAGGAAAAAAGTACATGAAATATTTTTGAAATACAAGGATGGTCAAGAAGCGAATGATAGTAGCGAACCCAATAATGAATGGAGAATGAATAAATGAATATGTAAATAAATAAAAAAAAACAAGTAAAGAATAAATAGAGTCGGACCGGTTTCTGAGTGGTGTGATCGAGGATCTTCCGCATCCATGTGCGTAGTTTATAGATATTATGACTTTCACAATGATCGAGTATGAAGAATAACGTCTTCGCCAAAGGAGCAAACAACTCGTGCGAATCGGACAACTGTTCATTGAAACGCGGCAATACTCGTGAGAACCATATCGTCTACAACAAACCAACTACATCCATAAATTTGCGATTACAAAAATAAACAAGTTCATTTAAATTGAAAATTAAGCTTTAGCAGCATGGCAAGGATAGTGAATAGATAGAAAGTGCTGGTCAACCACTTTGTTCATCAACCACACTCTTCTATTTCATTGCAATTCAAGACGTAGAAATAAAGAAAAAGTAGCCCCGAATGGTAAAAGTAATAAGATATGGCTTCATATCGCTCTATTTCATTCCTGTATGTGCAATATTTTACAGTGTTCCAAAAGTCGCGCATGATTGCATTAAGCACTTTTGCAAATCTACATCGAAGTAAAAATAAATAAAAAAGTGGAACTTTTTGAACAAGAGCAACCAGGAAGATTCTATCTCGTTCAACTGCTCTTTTTTACTTACTTTCTTCTTTGCTTCATTCATTGATAAATTGTTACTGGCTTCAAAAATAAGTGTATGGATTTCCTAATCAATGTGCTTATAAAGCTTCGAAAGTACAATGCAGAAATATATGAGTAGTGAAATGATGAATAAACAACTAAAAACAACTGGCAGCTCACTTCCGGGATTACCGGCAACGCCGAGACGAGAGTTTGGCCAAGGAAATGCGCTTTTTGGGACGGATCGAACACCTGTGAAATGTCGTCAAGCTGTCGAAGTGCTGAAAGCGCCGGATCGTCGAAGTGTTTAATCTGAAACTCTTAATCGATCCGTAATAAACTTCTACCCACTTTGTACTTCTCAAATTTTTCAAAATTTTAAATGCTGGTTAATTTCCTATTTACATGGTCCGCCTTTATGTCGTGCACACCCATGCAGTTCTTTCATTCATTTTCAATCCGTCATCCACGAAAATTTTCAGGCACTCGTGTGGGCTTGTCTGCAGGTGAATGAATCAATTTCTGGCTCAGACAATGATTCGTGGTGACCTAGTAATGTATCGAGTCGGTACTGCTGTCCTCCTAAAAAGGTCCCGTAGCAGTTTGCCAACGTATCGAACCCATCACAAAGTGGCGGCTCTGATCAAGAACTCTTGTTATTTAAATATATGCACGACGTGTTGGATCATTTAATTTCTTCTGGTGTTCAGCAACTATAAACGTTAATACCTCCCAAAATTTACCCATAACTGGTTTTGCGCTTGGTCGCCCTAGTCGCTCAACAACAGATCGTTTTGGAGGCTTTTCACAGTAGCAAGAGATTTCGAAAGTGATTTACCTGTAGATTATGATAAGATACAGTTCACCGAAGAGACTTCTGCACTTGATCATTGAGGATTTCTTTCTCTTTCCTTTTTATTTACATCAAATAATAGTGATTTTAAATGATGTCATAAGCTCTCTATAGAAAGGATAGAGGGGTAATTGTCGAGGAGTCTCTAATCTCTGAGCTAATAGTCGCTGAGAACTTTTTAATAAATGGTTTGTTATGACAAAGGTCGCTGATGACGTCTTCGACGAACGATGACATTATTCACTTTATTATTTCACTTATGGGCCTCTAAAATGGAGCGATGGTTAACTTTGATCTTGTTTGTTTCTATTTTGTAAAGCAAAAACTAAGCGAAAACCAAACCAGTGAAAGCAGTTGCACTGTAGGGCGAACTTCTACGTCCAAACTAAGCACTTTACGCATAGATTCTTTCAGATTCGAGCCCAACTCTTCAGAGATACAGTTCAGTGCTTCATTCAACTGGAAAATGGATACGGCCATTGCTTTATAACATTCTCTTTTCTGTTTTTCTTTTTGTATCCGATTACTTGTACCTTTCTATGATAAGGTCTAAAACCATAAATCTACAGTTGTTACGTCACTTTCTGCTTTCATATGGCCTTTAAATCTATTCTGATTTCTTACCTCCTTTCTAAAACCCTTAATATATTAGATAGACTGACATTTACCGACTTTGTTCTTTATACAGAATCGGTTCTACAGAACTGTGTAAAGGATAAAAAAGAATAAAGCACTCAGCGTTAATCATGACGAATGCATTCAACTTCACTGAGCATCGTTTGGAGGTGATTGAATGCATATCTGGCCTTTACAATGACCCGCCGTGGCCTACCGATGTATCCAGCCAGTGCTGCTATCCTCCCATACAGACAAGTCTGGTACCAATTTGCCGACCACGAAGGGATGGAGGTGGGCCACGTGCGGGGGAATCGATTCCTTGCGTGTTGCAAGGCGTCTCCGACCACTGCACGCGCTACTTAGAACTGTGTAATGAAATACTATCGTCCACAATAAGGCTTTTCCTCTTTAAATAATAATTTGGACATGTTTTCCTTTTTTCCCTCTTTTAAATAATAATTTAAATACTTACCTGACCGCAGATGATCGCATGAGTCTCCAGATTATTCTTTGCATCAATGAGACGCTTGCCGCCTGAAACCAACACGGTTAACTTTCTACACCTGAAGTACTGTTTAAAAAGATATTAATATAAAAGAATAAGAACAAATAGCAATAACGCAATGGTAGAGAGCGACAGTGCCTTCGGCGTTGATCAATCCTTCAAAGATATGCCATGCAGTCGACACCATTCATAGCTACAGAGGTGATTTTGACCTAACAATGACTAGAATTGTCTTGCCGATGTATCCAGTCAGTGTTTCTATCTTTCCAAACCAGTCTGATACCAATTTGATGACACGAAGGAATGGAAAGCTGCGTCGTTGGAGGCAGCTCAACACTATCGTCACGACGCCCAATTGCTCTTCTTCCGGAATAGACAACGCCTAATTTTTCGCTGTACTCACTGTAACACTTCCGGATGGTCACATCGGCCAATTCGGCAGTTCTTAGTTAGTTTCACGTCTTTTTTGCGATTTCCGCTTTACAACTTAGTTTCTCTCCCTTTAGAAAGAATTTCCGTCCTTCTCTTCTCCTGTGTATGGTCCATTTTCCTCACATCATCCTGTTTTTGAGTTCATATAAAACTCTTGCGTACGATTTAAAAGGCGTGCCCATTCTGCAATGTTATTGCTGTCATCATTTACTGAAGTTTTAAGTTATAAAAGGAATGCTGTAATGATACAAATTACTACAAATTACTTGTCAGAAATTACGCTCCACACAACGTGCGATGCTCGTTCTCCCATAACTGTCGACAACTTTTCCATGACCAGTGAATTTCAGGAGTTGGAACTCGACAGACATATAGAAGAAACTTTGCACTGTCGTTTCATAGGCCCTCTCATTCCGTATGATGGCCAAGAATTATCGTCGCGATTTCAAAAGGTGGAACAATCAATAGTTTCATTATAATCAATAGTCAATAGTGACTTAAGCTTATTTTCTTGGAAATAATATACTGAGAAACGGTACACTTACGAACACTACTCTAAAAGGTATTTGGTTTTTTGTAAACGAAATGATTTAGATTCCAACGGTTTTCGTTTCATTTAATAAAAGTTTAAATTTAGAAAGACTAGTTATTCTCTTCCAACGGTTTACCGCCTCATCGTGGCTAGGAGGTGTTCCTAGGTGTCGGACTGCGATTTACAGCAGGGGATTCATCCCCTGGTATGGTCTCCCAAGCTGAGGAGTCCGGCGTTTCCATCAGGAAGCCTAGTAAACCAATACCAGAACCCACTACCGTCCTGGTATCAAAGTCGCATGGTGGCTCCCTCTGATCCACAAGGATTGCGACTGCCTGTAGTGGTGAAGAGGTGGGGCAGACTTTGACCAAGCCGACGTCGGGCCTCTAGGAAACCACAATGGCTTAACTAGCAAATCTCTGAAAAATGGAGATTATGCTGGGGCCCGCACAACCAGTGAGGACGGGCCACTCAAGTAACAACTATGTCAAGTTATTCTCTACCAGGTGTGCACTTAAATCTGAATATGTCAAAGATTTCCTCTGGTACTTCGTGGCTTTATTGGGAGATTTTTCTCAGCTCTATTTAAGAGTCCAAGATGGCACGTCCGTTAGTAAAAATAGGGAAATGAGGAAAAGCAAACGTAGACGTGTCATGCCTGATGGGGAGTACATTGTGGCATCATGTTGTTTTTGAAGTCAACATGTCATTGGTTGAAGACAAGTCTCCTCCACTTCCACCAAGTGATTTGCGCACTAACCTAAGTGTGCTATGCAGTTTTATTTCAGCTGAATCAGCTCAGGGGATTTTCTGCATGTCTTCCAATTCCTATCTTTTCTAACGGATGAAAAGTCTAGTTTGACCGCGTCTATGTGGTTCTGAAGGCCCACCAGTATTTCAGAGACCTCCCGCTCCGTCGTGGATATCCTTCTCCCTTATACCAATTTAGCTTCTCTTTTGCATGATTTATTTCGCTGTTTCCCTCGAGGACTTTCTAATAGGAATTTATCACCCCATATCCTAAAGCTTACAAAGCACGTAGGCCATGACTACATTTAGTCAATGCGACAAATATATTTAGAAAAGTACAATAGTACCCACCCAGAGTGAAAGAGGGAGCAATTTCAGTGATTGGTAGTAGTATGTCAAACATGTAAACATTGAAAGTTGCAATAATTATAAATTCTGTTTAAAATGCATAAATTCTAAATGTGTTTGGTCGCAAGGAAAATAAATAGTGTATAAGACGTATTAGGTGCAAATAGCATCATATATGTATGCATATACATATACATATATATATATACATGTGTAAATGTACATATATTTGCACATATATACATGTATATACGTGTATATGTATATATATGTATATATATACATATATATATATATATGATTATATGTAAAGCATAGATAAAACATAGAAACATAGCACGTGGACATACACTGATGAACGCCTGGCTCGCCTAGTTCGTTCACAACTAGTAGTTTCAACAGCTATTATGAAAGTACATCACAATTTACTTCAAAGTCGTTGATTTTGGCTAGCAAATGGAGGAGATGCAAAGAGATGAAAAGTTTTAACTTGAAGTGCTGAAGTTTTAATTTAAAGAATGGCAACTGTATGTAGGATACTGACACTTAATATATATATATATATATATATATACATATATATATAGATAGAGACGTCACTCTGAAGATGTCCTCTCAATGATTAATTACATCGTTGCGAAAAACCTTCTTTAGTGCCGAAGTTCATTGTCCAAATACACTAAAGACAAATCTGGTCCCTCCGGAAAAACAACAGTCCCCATGGAGCAGATTCTCTTCAGAAGCAGCAGTCTCTCGTTTAATTCGGCCAAAAAGGCGTCATTTTTAAATTATTAAGTGAGGAATTCTTAAGTGGACATCCACTCATGTTCGATGTCCGCCACAGCGTCTGCATTGGATAAGTTAACCATTGTTTACAAAAAGTAATGGAAATCTATGTTATGGTTAAAATAATTCACCAGAATTGAAAATGACCCTCACGGGGGATATGCCGGCCACTCCCATAGCTTCGAAATGACTCCTATAGAGGTCATTCGTCGCAAGAGTGTTAATCTAATGAAGGTTCAATCCAATGACTACATATGTATTGCAGGGAATCCCTAAGCATTGAGTTACATGTGCCAATCAGTAATAAGGATAGCAATAGTACTAAATAATAAATAAGTAGTAATAATAGCAAATAATACATTAATAATAATAATAACAATTGATAATAATAACAACAATAACAATAAAAACAATCATAATTTTAACTTATTATTTACTGCCTACTCTTTTTAATGGCAGGGTAGATTGCGAAATATAACTAATGATTCTGAGATATTTGCAAAACTTCGGACCGCAGGTGTCTGCGGTGGGGAGCGAACGCGCTGTTGTCCCTTCCGGGGAGTAACGCGTTCACCACCACATCATACGGGTCCTTCACTTCGCTTGTCTTTCAGCTAGTTCGATCGATCTTTTGTCACCATCAATCACCCGTTAGCGGGCTTGATCTGGGGAGCCCAAATCAGCAACGAACCCAGTTAAGCTGAAACTGTAAATATAATCACAATTTTAACTTATCATTTACGGCCTACTCTTTTCAATGAGTAAATAATAAGTTAAAATTGTGATTATTACTACAGCCTCAGCTTAACTGGGATCGTTGCCGGTTTGGACTCCCCAGATCAATTCCCGCTAACGGGTGATTGCTGATGGCAAAAATCGATAGAACTAGCTGAGAGACAGGCCAAACGAAGGACTCGCATAGTGTGATGGTGAACGCATTACTCCTGGAAAGGACAATAGCGCGTTCGTTCCCACCGCAGACACTTGCGGTCCGAAGTTTTGCAAATATCTCAGCATCATTAATAAAAATAACAGTAATCTACGAATCTGACGGTTGAGCAAAGTCACTCAGCCGTGTAGCTACGTAATACCTTCCCACTTGGAATCAGAGTAAAGGCGTCTTGGCCTAGGACGCAAGTGCATCGATTAGATGGACTTCCTGTTTTTGTTATGTCACATTCATCTTCTTCTTTCCGTAAACATATAATCCAATTCGTGTACATGTTACTAGACGAGCTTATGAGAATGAGAATTGTTTCTACACGTCAATTAGGCTTAAGGTTGGCAATTAAGCAATAGGAAATGCTCAAGGGACGGCTTCGAGGAAAGCAGAAAAGTTACGTCTGCCTTTGAAAACTCGGGAGCTATACTACTCTCAGACACTTTTTAACCAAATGACAACGAGAAATAAAAAGGTTACAATTGTATGCGGTTTTTGATGGTCACTAATCGCCTGAATCTACATCACAACAACACAACTAGTCCCTTCTGATCCGAAAGTGTACCGAAAAATAGGCCAGTTGGAAGGGTCCAACTATCGAGGCCTTAAATGGCTTAGGAACCCTCACTTGCAGAGAAGATCACTGAAGTCACAATAATAATGAAATAACAAAAGTAACTATAACAGTTATTAATAAAGAAACGTCTTTGGCATTGATCAATCTATAAGAGACGAATAACGTATTCGACTTCGTTAAGCTCCGTAAAGGATAAAAAGGATAAAGGATAAAGCTCTCGGCATTGATTAATCTCTGAGAGATGCGCCATGCATTCGACTCCATTAAGCATCGTTTGGAGGTGATTGAATGCATATCTGGCCTTTACAATGACACGCCGTGGCCTACTGATGTATCGAGCCAATGCTGCTATCCTCTCAGACAAGTCTGGTACCAACTTGCTGACTCCGGAGGGATGGAAGGCTTGGTGAGCCATGGGCGCAGGGATGAATTCCACGTGTGTCGCAGTGGCGCCTCCAAGTTTCGTAAAGATGAATTAATTTATATTCATCCTACACAATGAAGTCTGGAATTCTACGGATGTGTCTGTTCAGTATTTCGCCTCGCCCTCTCGGACAAGTCTCGTCCCAGTGTACCGGCCTTGCAAAGCTTTATGAATCAAAAGTGCTGCGTCGAAGCAACGACCCCGTGTAAATGGTAGAGTATCTTTAACCGCTGTGCTACACGTAACTCCGAAAACAGTAATAAATATTAAAAACCCTCTTCAAAGAAAAAGTGTCGTTTACGCTTCCAAATAATATAGTCACATTTCATAGGCTGTGTGAGCTCACCTGCATAGATCCAACATATAAGAACTCCTAAGGAGAACACGTCGGCAGCCGATGTGACCGTCTGTTGATTCGGAGCCAGATATTCCGGAGCCAGGAAATCTAGATCCGGTTGCAGAATCGGTGGAAGTTTCTTAGTCCACGGAAAACATGGATAACAATCCTTGAATGAAATACTATAAATTAAAGAATCAATAAATTGAGGTCTGATGCATTATAGCGATTGCTTTTGCCTCTCTATCCTTTCTTCGTCCGCACTCATGTGATTGTCATGTTGTTGTAAAGCAGTTGAAACACCAATGTTTAAAATCTTCACAATCATTTTTTGTTACGATAGGAAAAAGTTTAGACTTTGAGATCAAATGGTTGCTTCAGTTAAGAAAAAATCCTCCAAGCTTTTCCTACTAAATCTCGTCACGATTGAAAAATTGAAAAATAAACTTAAAAAGTTCCTAACAGTTTACTGCCTCATAGTGGCTGGGAGGTGTTTCTGGGTGTCGGTTGGACTGCGATGTACAGCGGAAGATTCATCCCCTGGCAGAGCCTCCCAAGCTGAGAAGGAGTCCTGCGTTTCCACCAGGAAGCCTAGCTAAGAGCAAACCAACACCAGAATCAACCACTGACTTGGTATCAAGGTCGCATGGTGGTAAATCTCCCTTTGATCCACAAAGGCTGGGATTGCCTGTGGTGGAGACGACCTGGGGTAGACTTTGGCCTGGCTGACCTCGGGATTCTAGGAGATTATAGTGACTAGACCAGCAAATCTCCTAGAAAGTGGATATTATGCTGGAGTCCGCACAACCAGTGAGGACTGGTCCATCCAAGTATCCAAGTAAATAAACTTAAAAATCAGAAATCTAGCTAAAGTCTAAACTGAATGAGATGAATCTGTTCAGTAAGTTTTTAAAGTGAAATCAAAATTGAAAGAAGATTAATATGACATCTCGATACAAATACAGAATTTTAAAAATGTAAATGACTTCTTTTTGGATAATTGGACTGCCCATCTTTATAAATCTTGGGACTTCCAATCACACTTTACATAACTGGATGAGTGAGATATCTTTGCATTTCCAGTACGAAAAGACATTCCTCATACAAAAAAGGACCTAGGGTCTTCCCAGTCCACATAACCACTGCAGGCAGTCACAGGTCGGTGCTGATCTCCGCAACCCTGCGATTGAGATCTTTTAGAAGCGGTCATGACTTTCTTAGAAGATTTACCTACAGCTAGGCGTGGCGTCCGACTAGACACGTCGAAGTCGTTTTCAGTTTGGGTATCCTGATCAACAACTAGCAACCCTCTCATGAATAACAAAAATAGCTGAAAACGTTGAAAAATGCTTTCTTGAGCACTTATTTTAGTCCCCTTAACACGTTTGCAATTTATAGATACAAAATTCAAAAAAACTAAGCGTCATTTGTTTATTATACGTTCATGGAAACTCTTTACGGGACCGACAGCGTAAAACTACTGGCAGGCAATTCGTCCGATACGCTCCGTCACTCACCGGTTCTTTTGCGGCCACTGCAAACGCGAAACCGGCAATTTTCCATTGTCGACTGTTAGTGACGTAAATGGCGGACGGAGTCAGATTACCGTGAAGGATCTTCGCAGAATTGTGCAAATACGAAAGGCCATCGATAATCTGAAAATCGTAACCGAGTTTGAAATAAAGCTATGATTGTCTCTAAACTAGAAAAAATTGTGAATTCCACATATTACGAGTAAAATGTGAACTTGTATTGAACGAACTCGATTACTCGTAATACGTGAACTGCACACGGTTGACCTTACTCCATCTAAGGAGTTAAACGGCTCTCAGAAAGACGAAATCGCCGAAATGTTAGCTATGGTCTTTGAAAAAGTAGATACACCATCCTCGTGCTACTTTACACAAGGAGAATTTGCAAAATATTACTGATTGTAAATTTCATCTTTTTTTTGAAACTTTTATTTCCCAGATTTTCAAATTTTCTAGTTCCAATATTTTTCTTACATGTTCATGGAATTCTCCTCTTTGTTAATTATCATTAAGACTTAATGACTAAGCATATGAGTGCTAAGATTCGAACAACTGCACTAAACAGCATGCAAAGAACTTCGTTAAACAGTTGACTAAGAATCCTTTGTATTCTTGTCTAGCAGACACGAGGTGTTATTTATCTCTTTATTTAGGCGTAAGCTGACGTTTCGGCGGATTTCGCCTTTCTCAGAGCCTGGAAAGACCAAGTTCACCGCCAGTCTTAGTTGACAAAGAGTTTTTCCTTCTTTTCTTCACACATTTTCTTTTACTCCGTGAACTGTAATTGTAATGGTAGTTCAGCTCCCAAACATGTTTCTAGCAAGTGCGATGGAAACCCAGAGCAAACAAAACACCTTGACCCCTCTTCTCTCACGACTGTAAGGGCTGGCTTGATAATTTTTTAGAGAGATAAGTATACAGTTAATGTGAAATTGAATTCCAATCCAATCAGAATTCTAGACGTGAAAAACCTTCAACACGAAGAGAAAAGTATGGTTAGAAGTTTCTGTCACTCAGAAATAGTCAAATAGGCCAACTGACCTGAAGAACACCGACTTTCATCTCCAGTCGCTCAACTCCTTCTTCGACCACAAGGAGATCCAGTGACGCGATAACCGATTCCGTTGCAAAGGCAAGAAATTCCCTAAACAATTGGACATTTCTCTTGCATGGTCATCACGCTCTACAAAGCGACGCACATATCTTATTGTGAGATTACAGATTTTTTTATACGGCTCGTCTCAATACCTACTGCGTGGATCCTAGCACTTCTTGCATTCAATTCGTTTCCTCGCAGTCATCATCTTCTAGGAGTTTCAAACTTTTCGTTTATGATCTCGGTTACCGCTTGAGGATTGTTGTGCTCTTTATGGACATCTCTGAATGCTAATCGAGTGACTCTCCTTGCACTTCCTTGCTACTCGGGCTCAAGCGTTCCCAATTCGATTTCAAGGTTCCAACCGTTCCCAGACAAGTCTGGTTCAAATTTCACGATCCCGGATAAATGAGAGGCTTCGTGAGCCCAGAAATTATAAGCTATTGCAATAAAAGGGTATAACGATAAAAGAATGGGCTGTGATCTACCTCTGAAGACGCACCATGCATTCGTCTCTATTTACAGAATCGCTGAAATAATTGAGTGCATGTTTACCTCAACAGTGACTTTCGAAGCTTATCAGTGCATCAGTCAGCAGTTTTTTATTCCCTCAACCAAGCCATGTACCTATTTCCCAGCTCAGGAAGGAAGGAGGGCATGGTAAGCCAGAGCGATGATCAAACCGACGACCGTGCCACGCGTGTATGCCAGCGCTAAATATTACAAGCCTAATGTAGTCAAAGATGTAGTGAACAGAACAAAGAACACCCGATTCCGTGCCCACCTTTTCGACAGAACGGTACTTCCTGCCCCAACGTATGCGTCAGAAACCTGGTCGCTACGTAAGCAGGATGAAAGGTTACTCAGCGTTATTGAACGCGCAGTCGAAAGGACGATGCTAGAAGTATCCCGTTCCACACAAGTAAGGGATGGGATCCGAAGCTCCGATCTGCGTTAACGATCAAAAGTCAAAGATGCCGTTCTGTACGCCAAAGAGTCGAAGATAAGGTGGGCCGAACACGTAACGCCTATGAATGACAACCAATGGACAAGATCCGTCAGTGACTGGATTCCTCGGGATGTCAAACGTACTGCAGGAAGACCACTAACCCGATGGTCAGAGTTCTTCACGAAGAGCCTAGAAGAAAGATATGATGCTCGACGAGTCTCTAGAGCGAGCAGAACCCACTGGGCTACTCTTGCACGCGACAGGGAAAAATGGAAAATTTACTGGCGCCCGCTCGAGTCACTCGACGATCAACGCGACTACAGGCGACAGGTAATATTAATAATAAAAATAGAAAACAAAGATCTCGGCATTGATCAATCGCTCAGTGATGTGTCATGCATTCGACTTCATTGAGCATCGTTGGTGGTGACTGAATGCATATCTGGCTTTTACGACGACTCGCGGTGGCCTACCGATGTATTGAGCCAGCGCTGCTGTCCTTCCAGACAAATATGGCGCCAATTTACCGACCACGGAGATATGGAAGGCTTAGTGGGCCTGGGGCGCAAGGATTTATCTTATGGGTATTCCAGGGCGCCACCGACCACTGCGCTACACACGCCATAATATTGGTCAACCTAATGTTATTACTTGGTCAACGAATAATGATAACACTAGTAATAATAAATAGTATAACTCGTCCTATTGCTATTCCTAACACTAAAAAGGTACACACGTTTCTTCGATTGTTTCGTTTTCATTTCATGTATTTATTACGATTTTAGTAGTTACTTGAAGTCCAAGGCGCATGGTTCAAAACACAGGGTTACCGTAATCAAACAAGTACAACGTTCATAGTTTATGGAAACAAACATAATAAAATGGAAACTTTTTTTTGAAGATTAGCTATAGAATATCGTGTAAAGAATATAACAGGAGTATCTAGCTACATTTCGTTGGTTATATTTGAGCGCCGTGGTGGGAGGCGTCCTACAACACACGTGGAATCGATCCCCGCGCCCACAACCAACCAAGCCAACTGATGTCAGACTTGTCTCGGAGTATAGCAGCACTGGTTCGATGCATAGCTAGGCCATCGCAAGTCATCGTAAAGGCCAGCTTTGCATTCAATCACCTTCTAACGATGCTTAATGATGTCGAATGCATAGTGCATCCATCAGAGATTGATCAACGTCGAGAGCATTATGCTTTTATCCTTTATCTAGCTACAAGTTTATCATCCAGTTTCGACGGCTTTCAGAGAAATGCTTCGAAAAGTATTTACCAGAAGTTTCATAGTGTTTTCGCAACTTCAAAATAGATAATAGTTAACCGAATTTTCCAAAAATATTCGACAGAAAAAATCTGCAGGACGTAGAAACTTCTGACGTCCCTTGATATCGTCACTAACTACTGTATTTTCTTTACAACCTAAACATGGAATTCGAAAATATCCATTAAATTAAATCTGAGATATGAATGAGAAATAACTGACAAGGCAGATAAATGGGGAAATTTACAGGGGATTTGTAAATTGTGTTGATTAAGGGGAAACAGTGGCGAAAAGTAAAAAAAAATCGATATGCCCAAGCGATTTAAAAAACGAACCTTGAGTCTTCTAACGATTGCTGGACGTGTAGAATTCGAGGGTGTGCAAGAGATGAGAGCTGACCGACTTCATACCTTCAGACGAAATAGAAATGAATAAAAACGAAGATAAAAAATGAAGATGAAAAGTAAGAAGCAAAGAAACTATGGCCCACTATACATAACGGAAATCTGAAGAAAGTATGGAAAGAAATGCAATAATTTTGATGTCTATTGATTGACTGAAAACTACAATAAAATTACGAATCGATTAAAAGGTGGTGATTGACGATGTTATCCGTTTGGATGCACTAAAGCTCTCTCACCCGTACAAACTACTCCAGACAAGAAAGTTAGAACCCCTGGGACATTAGCCAGATTTTGGTTAATGACCTGAAGCAAAAGAACTCAACTGTGGAAACTTTTGACGCTGATTTTCCCATTCTCATAAAAGTTTCAGACCACTTGCAGTTTGACATAGCATTCTATAGCAAACAAAACGCATAAACATGGTAATTAGTCAACGTGAATCATCAATAGAAAGAAGATTTCATCAAGAACTGCTAGTAGCGTAGATTTTATCCTACATTCACTCGTCACAACATCCAACAGAAATAGTCCATGCCTCACATGGGACCGCAACGAAGACCTTTCCCATAAACTTATTATTCTTACAGCCAGAAGATCTTTTTCCTTAAAAACTGTTTCATCATTCTATACTGGATCCAATAGCCACATACTTCTTAACAAATCTTGGTCTTCCTATGAACTATATGAACGTCTTAATGAATTGTTCACACCATGACACGATTTCCATTCGTTCAGCTTTCTTATGATGGCCCATCATAAACGATGACGACGACAGAGGAAGACGGTGTCGCCTTATAACGCGTTCATTGTTGGCTTAATAGCAAATGCCACAAGAAGAAATTATTGTCAGTACTAAAGTAGATCATGTAATGAAGAACGAAAGAAGTGAATGCGAAACAAAGGTGGAAGATAGACTACAGATATCATTCCATACAAAGAAAAGGTGTTTGGACAGAATTCATTTAATCACTTGAATCACCTGTAACACCCAATCACTTGAATGCCGAAATATTCATTCCATTGAGCAAGAATGCAGCATAAGAAACTAATCCGTTCCTGATGAACATCGTTTTTCCGTGATTTAGTCAAAGACCAATCTTTCCACACTCGTTGTCTAGATCGGACACCATTTCTTTCGTTTGGCTAATGCTTGATTTCATAGCAACGGCACCATTTGCGAGGTGTAGATGGTACAATTGCCGACCACATAATTATATATTCACATTATAAAGGCGGTAGCACTTATTCCAGTTATTCTCTCTCGAAAGCTCAGTGGCTTCTGATAGAATTCTCGTAAAAACTTCTGATTCTGATAGAGACGACGAAGTAGTCAGTAAAAGACAAGCTGTCTTGATGGGTTGAGAAAAAGAAGCGCAACTCATGAACTAAAAAAAACTAGGAACAGGAAACAACGTATGACTCGAATGAACAACAAAAGAGTAAAAGAAATATTTAAAATGAATGCGACATCAGTTCATGGATAATGGGGTTTGTATATGAATCAACTGAGAGAAGTAGATGAAATACGGGAAAATGAGATATGAGCAAAACCCAGAACCCCAGCTGAGCTTCGAATCAACACTTACTTACTTAGTGAGAGCTCACTTGCCCTCCACCACACCAGCCGAAGCACAAGCCCCTGCACTGGTTTCTCTCAGCCATGATTTTACCCCATCAGTGCTATTAGCATACATTGGTCGAAGAGAGTGAGAAGAGCTTTATCTCGAAGCTTATGTTGAAAACCATAAATTTCATGTCTCAGATAGAAATTAGACTGGATTGGTTATATTCGTCATATAGAGGTGACCATAAAGGACTCACTTGATGAGGTCCACAAGAGCGAATTTGTTCATTCGACCGATTCGTGGCGCTGCTTTCACATTGTTCTTTCGATCGAACACCATCACCGATGCTTCCTAGAACAATATGCGGTCGAAAATAACTGAGAAACAGAAGTATAACATAACCGATACAAACTAAAATAGTTTAAACTGCAAACATTTTCCTTCTGAAAATAAACAAAGGTAGAGAAAATGAAAGCCACCAATGTTGGAAGGATAAAGGATAAAGCTCTCGGCGATGACCTTCCTTGAGGACGCGCCATGCATTCGACTTCATAAAGCATCGTCTGGAGGTGACTGAATGCATACCTGGCCTTTACAACGACTCGCGGTGGCCTACCGATGTATCGAGCCAGTGCTGCTATCTTCCCAGACAAGTTTGGCACCTATTACCGACCACAGAGGGATGGAAGGCTTAGTGGGCTATGGGCGCACGATTGATCCCACGTGTGTTGCAGGGTGCCTCCAACCACTGCGCCATACGCGCCCAAACATATACACAGTATAATTTAAACTCTTAGATCGATTGAAAGGAATGACCCTCTATTTCATTTACCGAGTGGATGATCAATGTCGCAGACTTTTTCATAGTAACCAATTAAACTTGACAAGATGCCCATCATGGAATTTTTTCAAAAATCCTCCCATTTTCTAAAATATATCGCGTTTGAAAAACTTGTTCTGATATGTCATGTACTGAATTAACCGAAAGTTAACTAGGAATCGTAGCGCAACACAACAATTACCGTCTGAGGTCATACAGTCTCTAGTTCCTTACTTTGGCCCTTTAGGTTAGCCAAGTCCTCAATCCCGTAGCTTCAATCGATCAGTAAACCAATCGATAAATCGATAGTTATTGCCATATCAATGGTGATAAATCAGCCTTGATTCGACATCCTTTAATTTCACATCAGCAGTCACCATTTGAAATAATTCTACTTAGAAGTAATTTTTTTGCGATAAACATATACATCGTAAATTGTAACTGTTTGTGGGAGTCATACTTTGTATTTTATTTACTCACTTGCTTGCTTGGAAGGTCCACCTTCACGAGCTGTGCGGAACCCAGCACAAATGCAATTCGTTCCTTTCTCTCGCAATCGTAGCCAATGGTGGTGGCTTTGTTCGAGTATGGTAGCGCTTGAGAATCTCATACCGTGATTTGTAAAACAATTTCAGCTACGGGTACAGCTGATTAACTTTGTTTACGAACGCGTCCACCCAACTTGTAGGTGGTCGCCCTGGAGTAGTTTGCATTCTCTTAGCGTCCACCCTACTGTTCTTTTCGTCCATCTGTCCCTGTTCTTCTCAATATGTGACAGGCCCATCTATGTTTCGCTATCGATGTATAATCTCCTGGATCTCGATGTGACAGATTTCGAAGGTCAGAGCTTCACATTCCGGCTACATATTGAGAGTGCCGATTATATTTCAGAAGAAATCGCTCAAACGCTCTATGAGTAATTCGAAGCATTCTTGACGTAGTTGAAGTATCAACCTACGTCTCTGCAGCATAACAGAGCGCTGGGAGGACCGTAGAATCGAAGAGATGAGAGCGGATTTTCAGGTCCTTCAGCTGGTCGGTGGCTTCTTTGAGAGGCCCGAATGCGGTCCAAACTGCTCTCCTTCTTCTATTTAGTTCCTCCTTCATGTTGTTTTCTATGTTCGTTGATCGCCCAAGGTAAACGTACGAGGTGATCTCTGTAATGAGAGAGCCATCTAATTCAATTTTTTCGGCTTCGCACCATGGATTTTTCATGAGCTGGGTCTTCTTTCGAATTGGGCGAAGTCCGATCGCTTCCCGCTTTGTTGACCTCGTTGATCATCACCTCTGCTTCGCTAGTACTTCTTGAGAAGATGACAACTTCGTCGGCAAAATGAAGGTTTGATAGGAATTTTCCATCAATGCGTATGCCTTTCTCATCCCAAACGAGTGACTTCATTATCCCCTGCATCGCAGCACTGAACAGCTTTGGCGATATTGTGTCGCTCTATCGAAACCATTTTCCTATGGGTATTGCAAGAGGTCGATGGAAAACCTGTATTTTCGTAGTGCAGCTCCGATAACAGTCGGACAGAGTCGTTATGCAGGACTGGTCGACTCCTCGGTCGACGAGCGCTGATAGGATTGCATTCGTTTCGACACTGTCAAACGCTTTTTCATAGTCGAAAAAGGTTAGGACTAGAGGCAAGTGGTATTCCCGACAAACTTCGATGACCCTGGACACGGTTTGTATGTGGTCCATGCAGAAAAATCCTTTTCGAAATCCTGCTTCCTCGACCGGTTGCGCCTCATCCAATGTCCTTGATATGCGCGAGAGGATAATCTTCGTGAAGAGCTTGTAGAGTACACTTAACAAGCATGTGGGACGATAATTAGGAAGAGCCCTTCGGACTCCTTTCTTGGGTAGGATGGTCGTGCGCGAGGTCCTCCACTGGTCTGGGATTTTTCCTTTTGAAGGTAGCATGTCATATGATCTGCGAAAAGTACTTGTAAATTGTGACCTCCAGTCCTAAGGAAATCGGCAGTGATATTATCGGGTCCTGGAGCTGTGCCTTTTTTCATGATTTTTATCGCAACTCGAACCTCTAACGGAAGAATTCCAGGTGGTTTTTCTCCAACGGGGATATTAGGGCCCGTGGGGGGAATTGTGGAACGGAAAAGGTTGGTGTAGAACGTTTCCGCTATTAATTCCATAACATGGCGAAAAGTTTCAACGATCCCATCTTCCTTCATTAGGACTTACAACGGAACATTATAATCACAGAAGTCCCGACAGCAATTTTTCAGACTGGTTCTTTTCTCTGTTGCTTACAGCAGTTTCTTCTACTTGTACCGTTGTAGATCTTCCTGCAAAGCTCTTCTGCAGCTGGCATTTATTACTAGCCATGTTAAACGTGTTACAGTAGAATCAAGCTTCAGTTTCCTTCTCTTTTCGAGCAATGAGGCGAATTCGGCACAGCTTTCCAGTCTTTGGACAAGCAGCTCGTAGTCTTCGGTCGGGTCTTCTTTAATCTGCCAGTCACGTTTTGATAGTACTTCGTTCAGAATATTCTCGTCGTATACAACTAAACTTTTTCCTCGCGGTCGATGAAGAGAGTTCTTTTCTAGCTTGCGGCTGAACCGGATCTTCACGTGAAGAAGGTGGTGATCGAAACCAGCACAGAATGACGGAACTACCGATGCGTCAAGTAGGCGCCATCTTCTGTTTGTCAGATTATGGTCGATCTCCGCATGAGTCATGCCGTTGGGAAACTCCCATATCCAACTGCGGCTTTCTTTCTTCTAGAAAAACCAGTTTCCATGGAAGAGACGTGCTGCTGACAGGAGTACTGCGAGACGGTTCCCGCTCTCATTTCTTTCTCCTAATCCAAAATTTCCGATCCTGTATCTGCTCTCGTTGGCCTTTCCTATTCTGGCGTTGAAGTTTCCAACAACAAATTTATGACATGCTTTATCATTGCGGATGACTTCCTCCAACAGATAGTAGAACGCATTTAATTCTTACTCATCAGCTGCTTCTGTCGGTGAGTTGCAGTTGATGATAGTGATCTTCTTATGATACGACAGTTGAAGACGGAGGACGGCTATGCAAGGGAAAGGATCACGTATGAGTCGACGAGATGGACAATGGACGGGTGGACGACAAAGCCAGCGCCACCGACATTTCGTGACGGGACCTTTTCCCCGCGGATCACAAGACTCCCGTTGTTTAGTTGGTGTATGTCGGTTTTCTTGATTTTTGTTTCTTGTAGTGCGACCACATGAAATTTAATGCGATCTGCGGCTACAAAAAGGGCGTGAAGACCGGCGTCTGTGGAGAGTGTTCTGGCATTATACGTGCATAGTAAGAAACAATTACCATGGCGTATCGTGCGGGTGTTCGTCAGATCCGGTCCCAATGACGTCCTGCGTAACCCGAGATTTTCTGACCTCTCACCGGTCGTCTCACCGCCTGACGTCATAGACGGGAGCACCCAGTGTGTACTGAGGCTGGCCTATTGCTGGTCGTGCAACTAGGTCCTCCCTGGAGTCCTGACGTAACCTTGCAAGGGCGTATCCAGGTCTTCACCACGATGTGGATCAGGAGGCGTGTTTTCGGTGACGAATCCTTCGCTCGGTCTTTCTACTAGTTGATTCGGAGAGATGTTAAAACCGAAATCAGAAACGAAAGTAGGAATGTAAAAATAGCCGACCGCTCAAGGACGATGTAGAAGCCGATTGGCTAGAACATAATAATAATAAGTAATAGTAATAACATAATAAAAATAATTGCATTTTAGATTTGGCTTTATTTATTTAGTTTTACTTTTTAGTAAAGAACAGCGCTTAGGGAAAAATTCCGATTCAAAAGTGCTTTTGGTGAAATGCTGAGGACAAAAGGAAAGGAACTTGAAAGTTTCTTGTAATAAAAAAGTAAACATCTCTGAAATAAACATAAACGCCAACGTTAGATATGTGAATAATGGAAAAAATTGTTAGCGACGCGGCTATGGGACTTGGCAGAGTTGCAATCCTTCATGTGCGTACTCAGTGTGTCCAAGCTTTAGCCGACCGCTATTTTTCCTACGTTTCTTAACCCCATCTAAAAATTGCGCGCTAATTGCTTTTTATTTAAATGCTTAGCCCATTACTTATTTAGTTATAAATGGCATGTTAGGAAAAAAAGAGGTAACTTTTAGAAACAGAACGCAATCAGTACACTATGCAAGATCGATGAAATCCGTCCAGTAGAACAATAACGCATATCTTCATTGGTGTTAAAGTCACTCATATATGATGAACACCTTTCCCAGCAAACTAACCGGGATGAGTCATACACGATAGATTTTATCTTCAACCGTTTATCTCGCCGCATAGAGCTTAGAGCTATCTATATAGCTTGCCCGTCAAAGAAGTTATGGTGGGGCGTCGGTCAACAAAAACTCTTTTTAGCAGTTACAAATATACAAAAGACATCCCAGTCACAATTATGAACAGCCGTTATCATATGGAACGTACAGAATAAAAAATACAAAAATAGACTCAATGCAAGCAGAAAAACGCTTCCAAATGGTGACAG